AATTTCAGACCACTCATCACATGGCCCTCTTACTTCACTTCTTAAAGGAAGTCAAATTCCTTTCAAACGAGAGAGAGGAGGAAAGGGAAGAAGAGAGGATGAGAGAAGAGAAGAGAAGAGAAGAGGTCTTTTGAACTTAGCCATTCTATTCATGGCTCAGAGATGCTACTCCTAATTATGATAGCTGCATGTTTTCTATAACCCAGCCAAGGTGTCTTTTGACACAGGATGACTTGTTTTCATGGTGTCTGCTGACCTGAATAAGACATGATTCCATGATAGAGGAAGTTGTCTGTGAACTAAGCCAAAGTAGGATTTGTTCCTAGATTTGGAAGAAGAGCCTTTCAATATAAAATCATTACTGCACTGGTGTACTTGGAAAAAAAACCCAAAAAACAAAACTCAGATGAACTGAATGAAGCTCAAGAAAAAAATAGCCTAAAATGCTTTTATCTACTGGGGAAATGACCTTTGGGAAGACATGTTAGCATTTTAGTGAAAATATTGGTTGAATATCTTGCCCATAAGTACACTTCCTGGTTTAACTAAAATTAAACTTAACTAAAGAAACTTTTATTGAGAGTCTATTATATGCAGAGCACAGTGTTAGGAGATGGAGAGTTAAAGATGGATAAGATGAGATTCCTGCCTGCAGGAGCTCACACTGCTCCTACACCCTGTTGGAGATATGTCTGTATTCTCACTTTAAGATATAGTTCTATCTGAAATAAATCACAGATTTTTATAAGCTAGTCCTTACAAAATGTGCTAAGCCTCCATGAAGGCCATCAGGCTATCAGGGGAAATGAGGCTTCCTCTTATTTTCATCAATGGCTCTTTCCAGACTTTGTGGTGAATCTTCGTGAGGGCAGTGTCTTGGCAGGATGAGCTCAGTGAGAAAATAGAGAGAGCAAAATAATATGATATAATATGATAGCCAAGGAGAGAGAGAGAGAGAGAGAGAGAGAGAGAGAGAGAGAGAGAGAAGAGAGAGAGAGAGAGAGAGAGAGAGAGGCTATATCCCACTATATTCTGAGTGCCAAGGCCCAGAAGAACTGCCCCTTTTATTGAATGATAGATCTCAAGCTGAAGGGATCTTAAAGGTCATTTTATAGATAAGTCAACTGAGGTACAAAAAAGTAAGTGATTTCCCTAAGCTGACAGCATGTAGCAAAGCTCAGATTGAAAAGTAGGTCCCCTACACCCAAATTTAGTGCTTTTTACCAATATACAATAGTTGACCCATAGACTTCCAAAATAAAAATTTTAAAGTATCCAATGACAACTATGGAAGGATAAAAGAAAGTAATTAACAATAGACTCTAGAGTAATTCAGGGCATCAAAGAGGTACATGGTCTGCATCAGCATGTCTTCTGTTTCATTTAATCTACCAGCCTTCTGTCTAAAAGCAGCTTTTTGCTTTGAAGAACCTGTATGAGTCAGACACACAGACCTAAGGCAGCTGAATTGTCAGTCAAGCTGATCTTGCTGGCTATGCCCACCCCCCTAACCTTTTGGGTCTACTGCATGTTACCTCAGGAGGAGATACAGTTATCCATTCACACACACACACACACACACACACACACACACACACACACACACACCCTCAACAACAACAAAAAATAAAAGACTAATTTAAACCAAGATAAGGGAGAAGTAAAGAGAGATGATGGAAGGGAGAGAACACACTAAGCATTAGCCCGCTAGCTTTATATTTCTTATAAATGCCTTTGATAACATATCATCCACAAAGTGGAGACTTCAGCCTCTTCTGATTTCTGAGAGAATGCTTTGGCATGCTGACTGAGTCTTCACTGGGGATCTGTGTTTCTGTGTAACCCCACATTTGCTGAAATGTCAGTGAAGAGGTCACCATATGTCCAGAGACCCATGTCACCACTTGAAAAGCATGTCCTTACCCTTCTGCACCAAAACATAATGAGTTAGATAGGCATCTGTGAGGAATTCTTTATTCTGTCTCTCCAAAGCTTGCTGCAAGAAGTTTACTTTACCCCCCTGGACTTTACAATGATGAACTCCATCTACCCACTGGCTCTCCACTCACCCTGTCTAAAGGAAAATGTGTGTGTGTGTGTGTGTGTGTGTGTGTGTGTATGTGTGTGTGCTGAAAGAGGGTGTGGGAGGAAAAGCAAGGAGAAAGGAAGGAGGAGACAGAATTAATCGAGTGGCAGACATACTCAGAGCAGGTGGCTGCTCTTTGTTATTGTTGGTTTCAACACATCAGAAGCAAGACTGTGTGGAAGTAACAGACGATGAAAGGAGGATTCAGTGTCGAGTCACCACAATAGTGGGAGCAGTAGGAAGGACAATACCAAATCCGTAATGGTTAATTTCCACCGGAGGAATGAGGGGGTTGGAGGACTTTGCCAGCTCTCAGCTCTCTCCCTTGTTGCCATAGTATTGCTGGCTGAGAAGCAAAAGCGGAGGCTGGCGTGTTGCCTACCTCTTTCTAAGGGGAGAATCTCTCAATTCAGCATTCTCCTAGGCTTAGACTAGGCAGGGGGATCACTATCACCCAGGCAGACAGCCTCACAGAGGCAGCTGGACTTTCAGCAGCTCCCAGGCATTGGTTGAAGTTTGGGTGTGAAAGAAGCAACCTTCCCTAACCCCTAACTCCAGTTCATTTCCTTAGCCACTATCAGAGAGAAAACAGAAGGAAGAGTTGAGATATTATTACTTTTCCCAAAAAAAATTAGAAAGTTCAAAATAACCTTGCTAGCATCTTTACACACATGTAGATCCTCTTTATTCCTAAACACACATTTTCCCCCAGAAGAGAACAAAACTCTACTTTGTATATAAGTAGTTGCTTCTTTATCTGGCAAGTTAAAGTTGAGAAAAGCCATACTGATACACACAACAGGGAAAAGTTAAGAACACAGACAATCCAATTCATCACTGGGGGTATGGGGAAAAGATCTTGATCCCCATTTAGAAGTAAGTTAATCTAGACCTTGTGCCATTGGTTCTAGGTACCAAAGTATTAAAGTATTGAGGTGAAGTCTTATTAGTGCATTCAATAAGTGTGGTATACAAAGAATGTATTTTATTTTAAAGTGTCAGCTCGTTTGGACAGCTGCTACATGATTCTGTTACAATAGCCAAGATTTTTTAATATGAAGATATGAAATGATCAGCGAATGTAGCAATCTAATGATTCAGCAAATATGTGCTGCAAGAGCAGAGCAGCAGTAATTAAACCTTCTGAGTTTGCACACTGCAAGTCTTCTTCACCAATCATACCCTAAACACACACACACACACATGCGCGCATGCACACACACACACACACACACACACACACGCTTTAATTTATTTTCCAAATAATTGCAACAACTCAAACAACTAACTGGAAGACACGAGACTTTGAATGCTTCCCCTGTCTGCTCTAACGAGTAAAGGCTACAGAACACCATCAGTGCACACATGCACACACACATCCCTGCAGTGGTATAGGACTGTTTAGTCACGCCAAAAGAAACAAACATTCCTAAGGATGGTTGTTGCTAAGACGTACCTTACACATCACCTTTATGTTAAAAAGGAGGCAAAAAAATATATACTACACTTAGAAATTCAACACACAAGAGCAATAATAACTCTTTTTAAATAATTGCCAATCTTTTCAGCTTCATAAAAAAGATGCTTTTGGATGTTATAAAATGCATTTTCCCCACTCTATGTCTAATGGGAAAGGTACAGACTTTTGCCAATCTATTATCCATGTTTGTTTTTTAAAGATTCTAAGAAACATATAGCCACTTTCTAAGCATAAATTTATCTGAGTAACTTTCTGTGCTTTTTTTTCTTCAAAACAGTCAGATTACATTTGTTTCCATACTTATTCTGATATAAATCATCCTGAATTATCAAAAGGAGATTAACTATGGGAACACAAATGCCTTTGTTTCTTCCATATTAAACTCAGATCTTCCTGATGAACTTTCCGGGACTAGATCTACTCCCTCCTACAACTACCGCCTAGGTCACTCAAGTGTTGTTGCACGTCGATCACACCTCATTTCATCTAAGCAAACATCTCTCTCCAAGCATTTCACCTAAAAAGTTTCACATTCAGATTTTAAGGTGAATTTGACGAATGCCCTAATTTCATGGGATTCCCTGTAATCTTTATTCACTTCTCCATTGTTTTTGAGGCCCCTATGTGGAGTTAGGGTGCAAGCATTATAACGTTATTTCTCCTTATTAAATGCTATTGGAGTGGGGTGGGCTGGTGATGCGGGAGTAAAAAAAAAAAAGAAAAAGTAACATACACACACACATACACCCCTCAGTTCACTTAACAGGGGCGGTTCACACTGATTCATTACAAAAGCTCAACTTTCAACGTTTAAAGTATTTCTGTTTAAATCATGCTCCTCCCTGTTAGCAAGCCTGAGACTTGAAATCTCAATAAAGGAATACAAAGGTTTTGTTTCCAAGAAAGAAAGGGAGGGAAAAACCTATAGCCTAATGTTCTTTCCGATGTGTTATGTGATTCTTCCCGGGGCATTCCAAGTTCTTAGCGAGGAACGTGGGGAAACAGACAGTGGGAACCTACCAACTAGTTGCCAAATTTTAACTAATCAGCCACTAACAGAACTCGGCTTTCCACCGCTGTGGAAATAAGCGCCCAGTACAAGGAATCAACATGAGCGCTGATCGCTCTGCAGACAGAGACCTAAGGGGCTCAGGCAGGCAAAGCTGCCAGTCACTTTCCCCACAATTATCATCATTTTTGAGATATTACTGCCCCAACACATACATATACAGTCCCTTAATACTGCTGCCTGGGGTTCAGGCGTTAGGGTCCGGATTGAGGAGGAAGACCGGGTTCAGTGTACGTCTCCAGAGGCTGGGGGACATCTAACAGATCTAGGAGAGCCCCCTTTCAGAAATAAACATGCGTATTTACATTGGGTTGCTACAGCGGAGCTTTTGCTAACGTACAACAAACAGGGATGGGAAATCTTACCAAATCTTAATACATGTGTGGTTCCTTGAGAATATCCAATCCACAGTAAGCAGAGAAGGAGTCTAATGGTGCACCTGAAGACTGGGTTACTTAGAATCGGGGAAATAATCTTCATGGTGTTTCTATGCACACACGCGCTGCACCTACTTCCCCCTTTTAGCGTCAGGCTCCCCGGTAGGGTAAGAATGAGAATACGTAGACTGATGGCCCTCAGACACGATCACGGCATGGTCACAGAGAGAGGAGCGAGTCTACGCTGCCCAAACCCATTAGCAGTCCCTGCATGTTCTTCACTCACTGCGCCAAGGAGCAACCTTCAACTGCAAGGAATGGTGGGACATCCATGTTAGTCAGGGAGAATCCTTGAGAAATCCAAAACACACACACACAATGTCCAGCCGGGTAAGCCTGAGGAAGCAAAGGAGGAGGAAAATCAATAGGTAATCCAGCCTGGGAAATCGCAGAGATATCGAGACATAGCAACAGTCACCGTACAAAGGGCTTTTTGCTAGGCTTCTATTCTACTGCACTGCTGCACAGCTTCTGACGTGAAGCCAAGATTAAGTGAGAAAAATTGAGATAGCTTCTCTCCTCTTAAGGCTGCCTGCCAGACAGCTTTCTCAATATCTCTTATGCAACTGATCTGAGCACCCTTGTGTTGTTGGAAATAAGTCGTGTTTGTTTATGTGTGGAAAAATCTTTTTGTTTTTCAACAAAAGACCTTCCCTAAAGATTGACTAGGATCTGTGCAGTTCTATTAAGATCAATTCATGAATTTTAATATGTGACTAGCTAGGTCGAAGCCACTATTACTTAGAATAGATTTTAAAAAGCAAAAAACAACAACAAAAAAAAGGAATGTATTCCAAGACTGTCAGAGGATATACTGAAAGTCTAACTCCCGCTTACGCTTAATAAGGGTCTTGAAATTCATGTTCACTTTCTATCACTTATTTTTATGGAATAGAATGAAATTAGGTGTCTGTATGTAGTCTTTAAAAACTTGTGAAGGACATCTCTTGATTACTATTCCTGACTAGAGAATTTCCCTTTATACATTTGGTTATTTTTTTTTAATACTAAAGATAAGGTAAGTGGAATCTATGTGATCACTAGTTTCTCAACTTGCCTGGGAGTACAATACATAAATAAGAAGAGAGCAAATGATGCTTGGATTTAGGTGATAAACTCCAACTGCTTCTATAATTTTATGTTCATGTTTCTTCTTACTGTGGCATTATGATGGTTATTTGTAGGAGGCAAAAGATCTCAGCTTGGCTTGAGCAACCTTAAACATCCTTGCCATCCCTTAAGTGTTCTTTAAGTTTCTAGTAGTTTTCTGGTGATATGTTTTGTATCCCACTAAATATTTGTATGTTCTAGCTGGATCTCCAGCCAATGTGATCCAACTTTCTCAAATAGTAATTCATTATTTAAAAAAAGTAAAACCAATAAGGACTTTATTTCCTTAAATGCTCTTAGAATACAAAATGCACTTATTAGCTAAAAATAAGCTGTATTACATCTTACAAGCACATAAGTTTTAAAATAGACAGTGTTGTTGTTTCAGATCATAAAAGAAGTTATCTTTGAAGTTAATAAAGATTTCACTGTTCATCTTTAAAAAAAATAATTGAGCACCTCAAAAGGCAAATCTTCAAAACTGTAAACTGATATTTCCTGGGAAACCACTCAATTCCTAACTCACTTCCTTTTCTCTTAAGAAAGGTATTCCTTTCAAAAGTGAAAGTTCAATGTAGAAATGAATTATGAGAATATATACTGTAATGCTAATATCTAAAAGAAAAACTGTCAGATCATTTTAAACACTGACATGACTGCCATTTAATTCTTAAATAGGTTTCATGTTTTAAACAGAGAGTATAACTACAAATATTACCTATATTTTCCTTGTTATGCATCCCTAAATTGTAAAAAAAAAAAACAAGTGACAAAAATTCTCAGCAAGTTCTTCTTATTCTATTATAGCAATTTTCTCTACACATCTTAATGTAAGTAATTGTAAAATGCTCAATTTAAAAAAAGAAACCTACATTCTTCGGTGGTATTAAATGTCATTGACTTTTTTTTAAAGATGGAGGCATAACTGCAGTGTCAAAAATAAGTATCATGAATGGCTAGTTCTGCAGTGGAGCAGGCAATTCAATCAACTAATTTGACTATTTGAGCACTTTAAAAGGAACACCTAGTGCTAAAACTAAGGGTATCTAGCGACTCCTTCAGCCCATATTTAGAACAGCTCTTGAAAAACATAAATAGTCCAAGATGCTCTTTCTTCTATTTGCTCCTGCATTTATTCCATTCTATTCAATAAATTTGCATTTACTTTTATGAGGACTTAGCTCTGAAGTAATTTTAATATCTTTAATTTCCTCTGATGCCCAAATATTGCAGAATAATTATCTGGTAGTGATTTGTGTTTACTTGTGAACAATCAAAACACAATTATTTTTAAATGTACCTGCTATTTTATATATTCTGAGAAAATAAAAGGTACTATCACTTATGTTTTATTATTTACAGTTAACATATTGTAAATTTCGAATGAAGTTTGTCATTTTTCCTATTTAGTACATATCACCTAAACCGTTTTTGGTTTGTGTGAACATAATATGAACACAGCTTAAAGGGGAGGAAAGGATAAGGATTAAGTTTTCAGGTTCACAAAGTTCTCATGCAGTAAATTAATCTCCAAATGCTGGAGGATAAATTACTTTTATCATAATTCCTTCAAAGAATCTATTTTAAAAATTGTTATTTCACTTTTCTAGTGCATTAAACCGAATAGTTCAACACCACGGACAGCGACTGCACCTGTCTGGATGAAGGTCTGTGATGAGACGTGTACGACCTTTTTCAGAACCATGGACAGTACCACAAGCTTCAAGTTCAACGCCATTATACTGTAATCCACACTAAAGCACCATAATGTGTTATTTGAAACCTCAAAATGCAACCTCCACATGAAGAGTATCAAAAATTAATTAAAATGAAAATAAATGTTTGTCTTCACATTTTAATAGGTCTGGTCTCTTCAATATTTTGTTTACTAGTTTGTGTGTCATGATTTAGGAGGATTGCTTTCAGTATCTAGAATCTTATTCCATGAGGCAACATTCATTTTTCCAGTGTACTGTGAAAATCACTCATATTAACTGTGAATTCATTCATTAGCACGAAGAATATCTATTTCTCAGTAAAGAAATGCTTGAAAGACCACCAACAGTTCAGAAGACTGTATAAAAGGTTGTCATTATTCAGTGGCTAAAGACATTTATAAAGTGTACAATTAGTTATAGCCTTAAAATTGACCACATAAGGATAATAGGTTGTATTCTAGTTCTTTTTAATCAAACTTCACAGAATTTTTTTTAATCAAAAATAATAAATTTCCTCCCAACTACAACCATCCCCTTCCCCAGATTTAGGAAAATCAGTAAACAAATTTAGAGGGTTTTTAAAATAACTTTTTAAAAACAATACTTCTAATGTTTTATTAGCATTGGCAGCTATGTGGTAAAATAATAATTCATTATATATTATTTGAGTGGAGAAAAATTAACCCTTCCTTAAATTGTGTCAGTCTTGTGATTCAGTCCAACGTTGAAAGAAAACCGACATTGGTGTTGAAGGCCATCTATAATTAACAGCAATAATATTTATACATGTTATTCTGTGGTATTATTTGGCTATTTCTGGATTTCTACCATATAGCATCTTTTATCTTTAGTAGCTAAATCTCTATGGACTCCAAGGTCAAAGCAGAAATTGCATAGCACACATACATTTGTTTTTGTGCACACACACACACACACACACACACACACACAGAGTGAGTGGAGTGGTTGAGTGTTAATGCAGGCCACTGGGTAGGGGTGATCACTATATACTAGAGTAATAATTTTTTAGCTTTTGGAAGTAACAGAAAGGAAAAACACACATCATGTTTGTACACTTTTTTATTTCAACAACCAAAAAATCCTTGCTTTATTGTTTTACATTTTCTTAAACAAATGACCTTTCAATACTAAACATTATTACTTAAGAGCTCATTTTCATTTTCTATTCTCACAGTAAGGATGAATCTGATTCTAGTCAGCTGCCACCTGCTGGGACATGTCCATGTGCATATTAATCCTCATATTGCAACATTCCTTAGGCTATGAATTTAAATTTCCAGCATATAGCCATGTAACTGACTACCAGTGTCACATCCTAAAATAATCTAAAATCATTTCCCAGTTCCTACAAAGGGGCTTCATATGGCTTATGATCCCTATATATTTATCTTATACAATTTTCCTGTGAATTCCTTCTTATGGCTCCACTTTTCTTTGCCATTAGAGCCTTGTTTTTGCAATGTGGCAGCAGGGGAACTCCATCTTACAATAATGCCTGACACACACCTATGTACTTGTATCTCATCTTGGCTGAAAACAGCAGCCTGTTCCACTGCTCTATGAGTGTGTCAGGGAATAAAATTAATGTTGATATTATTATAAGGTAAGGGAATATTGCTGCCCACATGCATTTAACTCCTGCAGGCTATACTATAGGTTCATTTTCAACTCTTGTTAATTAGTAACATTGTTTTGTACCATATTTCTCTCACATTGATAGTTAATGACGTGTAAGGTAGTGATTAATTTTTAGATGCTGAGAAGAAGAGTGTCCTGAGACTGAATTGTAATAAATTGACCTGTTCAAAAACTTTTTAAAGTTTTTGAAGCAAGGTATTTTTCAACAGGCTTTAAATAGGAAAAAAAAGACTTTCTCTGGGCAGTAAATATCTCTGTTATAGCTCTACTGAAAGTCGCCTTTTTTCAGTTAATTATCCTACAGATTTCTTAGGCTTCTAACAGGAAATGGATTGATGCCTTGAAGGAAAGGATCATCCTGAATTTATAAAGTAATGAAGTTTGATCAATAGAGGCAAAAACAATATTTTGTAGAAAATGAACGAAAGACCGCTTAAGTTACAAAAGAGCGTATAGATGCTTGCAAGTGGAAGATATAAAATTAAGAGATCAGATAATTTCTGAGGACCAGGATGCTTAGAACACAGGGATAGAGGGGGGAAGAACTTTTTGGCATCAATAAAACAGCAGTAGTAAGTTGTTTATTATCACCTGTGCCTAAAGTAATTTTCTAAGTCTCCTAGAAAGTCTCCTTGTCTTTAAAAACAGTATTGCATTGGAGATGAATCTGGCATGGCATAAGAGTTATTACTCTTGTACTCCTGCCATGTATAATCCAACCCTCTAAGTCTTTTTTTTTCTCTAACTCTGAAGTCCTGGCCTTTTTCCTAATGTGCCTTCTCCTGAACTCTAGATATTGCCAAAAGAAAATGACTACAACTCTTTGTCACTGTATAACCAAAGAAGATAAATGATAGCTAGATGAATGGATAGATGTATAGATAAATAGCTTGGTCCCTGCGCTTTGGTTATACTCTTCGACTAGAGTTTGTTTTGGTTTTTCCTCAAAGCTGAGCCCAATCACTGACACCTTCACTTTTTCAATTATTCCATTTACTGAAAGTGAGTACTCCTGGCCAGCAGGACCAGATATTTCCTTGACTGTAATTCATTTTGGTGAGCCGGACAAAACCACTCAGCAAAATGCCCTAGTGTGAACCCTGTGCGAGCAGGGGTCACTCACAATTTTCCTGTTTCCTCTTTCCCATGGGCTAGAAAATTATATCCTTCCCCCTCTTACCTCCTGACCTTTCTGGGGAAAACAAAACTGAACAGTTGTATAAGAGAAGAACCCAAGAGTCAACAGCAGAGCCCACACCACACCCGGGGAGTTCTTACCTTTCTCTTCTGGAGAGGTGGGCGGGAGGGCAGAGGGGTGGGGAGAGGTTGGCCCTGGGAGCGAGGGGAGGAGCAGTCCAGAACAGCCTGAAAGAGGCTGTCTAGGAAGTAGAGGAGCTGCGGAGGTCCGGGATCCGGGACTGAGGTGCACTCGGAACTCACAGTGCCAGTGAGGGCGGCCCCAGTGCCGGCAGCCACTTCTTCAGCGGCGGTGGCAGCAACAGCAGCAGCAGCAGAGGTGGTAGATAAGTCTGACACGCCTCCTGGCGGGAGCTCTTCGCCGCTCCCTTTAAAGGCGCCGAGCTCCTTTCCTGGGGCTATGGGCCGCCTGCACTCCAGAATCCCGCTACTCCCACTGTGCACTTTCATTCCCTCTTTCTCGTCCCATAAGAGAGCTCTCCACGCATTCGATCAGCTTTAATTCCAAGCATGCAGGTCAAAGATATTTCTAACTCTAGGGCTGAACCGAAAGGCTTCCGAGTTGAGTGGGTCGGGGGGTGGGGGTGGTAACCAAGGACTGGAGATATAGACTGAATGATTCTTGATGCAAACCTCAAGGGAATTTACCCGATCTCTGTAGCTACAACACGAATAAAGAGCTTGGGTACATTTGGTACTATGAGTGTGGGCTTTATTCCTTTCAAAAACCATGGCAACTAAAGTAACTCTCGAGGCCAATGACTATGAGCTGCCTCTTCTTTCTTTCTTTTCTATGCTCCCCACCCCCACTCCCACCCCAGCTTCTCTCAAGCCAAATACACTGCAATTTGCCCTTGATGTTTGCATTTCTGCTGGAGATATCTTGTCCTGGTTTCTCCTCCATCCCCGCACTTAATCACAATGAACTAGAAGGATTTCAAGTCACTATTCCCGGCTTTTCCACCCTCCTATAACACCTCCAGTTATCTGGGCAGTGGGAAAAACGTTTTTTCCTTGTAAGAACAGAACCGCGGGAACTCCAGGGTACAGTAGGGTCAATGTAGACATTTCTTTATGCCTTGCATATGTGAGAATTTCCATACGCGGCGTCTAAGTAGGGACTTCTATATACCCTGAATAGATAGGATTTTTCTACCTGGAGTATATGCAGGGACTTTTGTATGCTAAATATCTCGTCTTTCTAGGTGTCATCTTTACAACTCAATGACCAAGGGAAGAGGTTGCGATCGCTCTGTCCTCCAAACCTCTCAACTGCCCTAAACAACCATCAGCAAAAGACTAGATGTGAGATTTGCTGGATTCCAGTTCTTTCTAGATGTTAGTGATGAAGGGCTTTGGAAGTCACCTGTGAAAAGAGTTAAGAAAATGTTCATCACCCTGAGAACTTTAAGGGACTTTGAGGGAGCCTGATTTTCCAGGAAGTTAGTAGTGGCTGTATAGAGTCTTACAGTACTATATTATCATACGACAACAACAGATTAAGTCTCCGCAAGGAAGATAGCTCAGGGTCCTAAAATACAAGCTCAAAATTTACCTTGCCATACAGTTAAAAGAAAATAACCGGAAAATAATTCCAGATTTCTGATCCTATGGATGTGAAAAGTCAATATCTTTTTTAATCCCATTGCTGTTCTATCCTGGATGCTTCAATATTAACTAGAGGTGAAACAGCCCTTTCCTCCCAGAGGAAGTGGTTCTCAATACTTCTCTAGGATTTTTAAGGGAAGGAGGCAGAGACAGAGAGGGAGAGGGAGAGGAAGATAGAAATGGGAAAAATCGAGGGTCTCTCGGGAGAAAAGGGAGAAGAAAGAAAGTAAGGAGAGAAAAGAAGGGGAAAGAGGCAGAATATAGGGAAAGGGGTAGAGGAGAAAGGGAGAAGCAAAGGGGGAAATAGAGAAATCTGGAGAAATGTAGCTTAGTGGATCTGGAATTTGATGTCCGTATTTTATTTAAAAGAAGTACAAAGAGTACTATAATTGACAAGTCTGAGAGGCCTGGCCACCCAGCCCCAGTCTGGGTTCTGTTAGCTACTTCCTTGGACCTTGGGGTCTTAAAAAGGTTGCTAGAGGCACTCCTCTATGCTCGCCCAGCAGTGGATTTTCCTCAACCCAGAGGGCAATCAGCTCATTTTGAATCTGCTTCCATATTTCCTCAACCACTACGCCTTGGAGTTCCCCATTGCAAAAAGTTCTGGTGCCAGGCTCCGCCCCCTTTTCCTTGGTGCAGTGACCGGACTCCTTGACCCTCGAGCTCCGC